TTCAAAAAAAAACCCCAAAGGGACTTCATCAGACTAAACAGCTTCTTCAAGGCAAGGGCAAACAGGATTGAAACAAAAAAACAGCTCCCTAATTGGGAAAAAATATTTACAAGCCACTTATCCGACAAAGAGTTAATCTCCATAATATACAAAGAACTCAAACGGCTTAACAACGAAAAAACAAACAACCCGATCAAAAAACGGGCAGAGGACATGAACAGACATTTCTCAAAAGAAGATATAAATATGGCCAATAGACACATGAAAAGATGTTCAGCATTGCTAATCATCAGGGAAATGCAAATCAAAACTACACTAAGATATCACCTTACACCCGTTAGATTGGCAAAAACATCCAAAACCAAGAGCGACAAATGTTGGAGAGGTTGTGGAGAAACAGGAACCCTCATACACTGTTGGTGGGACTGCAAAGTGGTACAGCCACTATGGAAAACAGTATGGAGATTTCCCAAAAAGTTAAAAATAGAAATACCCTATGACCCAGCCATCCCATTACTGGGTATCCATCCTAAGAAGCTGAAATCAGAAATCCCAAGAGTCCCTTGCACCCCTATGTTCATCGCAGCATTATTTACAATAGCCAAGACGTGGAACCAACCTACATGCCCAGAAACTGATGACTGGATAAAGAAGATATGGTATATATACACAATGGAATACTACTCAGCCATAAAAAAAGACAAAATTGGCCCATTCGCAGCAACATGGATGGACCTCGAGGGTATTATGTTAAGCGAAATAAGCCAGTCAGAGAAAGATGAACTCTATATGACTCCACTCATAGGTGGAAGTTAACATATTGACAGGGACATCTGATCTGTGGTTACCAGGGAAAAGGTGGGGGTGGGGGGAGGGCACAAAGGGGGAAGAGGTGTACCAACAACATGACTAACAATAATGTACAACTGAAATCTCACAAGGTTGTAATCTATCATAACATTAAAAAAAAAAAAACAAAAAAACCCCAAAGGACTTGGGGGTGCAACGATAATTAGACATCACTTAGATCAATGAGTCTAGTTTGAGAACAAAGCAAATTACTGTGCCAGCCTAAGCAATGTTTAGTTGTGAAGGCAATCTGTAGTGATGTACATAGTACGATTACACCAGACTTTTCTAGTTCTGATATAATAATTTGTAACAGAGCCTATGATAAAACCTAGCCCAATAACTACTATTTAAAATTGGGGGAAGAAGGTTATCAAAACAAAAGGCACATATACTCAAGAGTTCACACACGACTTTTTCAAGTACTTCAGATGAACAATTCCAAAATACCAGTGTAAGACAATGCCCGTTATGGAACAAGCAAGGACTACAACAAGCCTGCTGATCTGAAGTGTTAACTACAAATCATTTATTAAAACACGATTTCAGCTAGGCAACAATGGCAATATTGGGGTCTTTACAGTTGGTAGGAATAGCCAGAGATGGTTTATTCTCACCTCTGCTCAGGGTCTTTACCCTTAGACCTGCCCAACTTCCTCTGTTTCTTCTTAAAATTTCCACAAATCAAATTTTTACTAAACCAGGCTCTCAGCATCACTGTATTTGGTTTACATTCCAAAATTATAAACAAATCCTAAAAATAATTTGATACTTTGGATTATCATCTCCCCTTTCTATTAGCATGGACAATGGAAAACTGCTGGTAGAGAAATTAGAAACGTGTGTGAAGGGTGAAGGATAGGTCAGATATTTTGCTGTCAGGTTAAAGAATGGATGAGGTTTCTAATCATGAGGATTAATGGGACCATAGATAACCTGAAGGGAAGTCTCAGTTTGGGTTATTTTTAGCTTAATTTGAGAGTTTCTGCTATAAAAACCAAGTATACTGTATTTACTTTAGAAGATTTGAGTAACTCCCTGAAAAAAATTCAGTGTTACCACTTAATTCAATCTGAGCATGTTTTTTCATAAAATTATCAAATTGACTGAAGCATTAACACAAAAATGGAAGAAAACAAATGGATTTAAAAATCAATTATTTTGGGAAAGGACTAATTATTAACACTAACAAGTGAACCAGAGAGTAACCAAGACAGAGAAATAATAACAAGAAGAAAGCTCCAAACATGGAGAAGTGATTCATTACACTATGAACTATTCTATACAGAGGGACTTACTGGATTGAGGCTTAAGTTTCTCAATAGTGGAATAAAACAAAACATTACAACATGGAATTTTCCCCCAAAGTAATGTGAAGAAAAGCTGTTAGAAGCAGCCTGGACGAATGACATGAGACGAGAAAATTTTGTAATAGCTATGAGCATCGTATGTTTTTAATTCACCAATTAGAAAAGATGACCCTGAAAAGAGCATAATATATTGGGTCACAGAGAAGATGTGTCAGCTTCATGATTACGAACATTATCCTGAATGGGCCCATTTTCTCCGCAGAGAGAAGAAACCGTGCTCCACAGTCAGATCCAAACTTTACTGTGGCCATTTGTCCTGGACAGTGTGAATTAAATAGTCTGTCATTGCCACCAGAAAAAAATGAAGCAAAATCCCATGGACCAAGCGAGCAGCAAGATGTTGTAAAAGTAGACAGGGCTAAGATGCAGGAAGCTTACTTCTAGTTGTAGCTCTAAACCTACACTTCTTGACTGAGCCATTTATCCTCTCTTGGTCTGTTTACCTAACTATACCAATAGGACAGTTTCTAAGGTACAAAGACCTCTAATACTTTATATATATAAAAGTTAAAAATATCAACAAAGAAATCACCCAGGAGCCCAATAAATGTCCTACACTCACAAGTCAGCCTCTGAGCAGAAGAAAGCTCAGGTTCAATACTCCACAGGTAAATATTAAGAGTTAGCTGTAGGTCCACAAAACAGAAGAGAAACAGAACTGCTTTGCTTGGTGTTCTTCCTTAGTTAATACATGAGCAGCAAACAGCATAATGATTAAGGGAGAGGATGCCGTTAAAAGGAAGGCTTGCCGCCAGTGAAAAAGAAGGAAGAGCTGAGCACAAGAAAAACCTAAAACTAAACCTCAAGACATGAATGCACAGTGATCTGGGGCCAGGTGTCACAGGGAAGGGCTTAAACACCTCTATCACTGTTATAGCATAGCTCAATATCTGATATTTGTAATAATATAACACTCAAGCACCAAGAAAAATTGAAATTATGTTTGCCATACTCTGCTTAGTAGGTAAGGAAACAGTTTATAACTATGACCACTGAAAAATTTTAAAAATAAAGTTCTGTTAAAAAAAATATATCAATCTAGCCCAAAAGTGAACATTGCCTTCGTCAGGTGAGAGAAGTTACTATAAACGCCTATTGTTCTTTAGCAGCAGGTCAGTGACATCTTTACACAGGGAGCAGAGATAAAGGTAATGGAGAGCCCATTCTGTGAACAAGCTTCAACTGCTATTACTTCCTTTACAAGAATGACGAAAACAACATGGTGAAAACTTCATCTATAACTTAGAAAAACATATAACATAACTTTGAAAAACTCAAAATATTTATGTCTGCATTTAGAAAGATGCCACCTGGTGAGAATGAAAGAAAACACTGCCTAAATAGAAATCATGGTTTTATTTTTAAGTTTAAAACTTGGTTATATGGAGAAGTATCCATATATGCATCTTTGTAATGCAAAAATTATAAAACAATTTTTGTATCAAAACATTTGATTACACACTGTGCTTCAGTGTGCACCATTTGTGCTCAATAACATGTTTACAGTTTGTTCTATGGAAGAGGAAGAGAGTGAGTAAGCAGTTATTCTTACCACAAGGTCATTTACCCAAACCCAGAAAAAGTCTAAGCTCTTTGGAGCTCCTGGATTCCTAAGACAATCCTGTATGTTTTCATGAAAAACCAACAACAATAACAAGCAAACCATTTCTTCTGAGAGTGTGTACACATCTTTTTTCAAAGCCTAAAAACCTTTCTAGATTATGTCACGATGACATCATTACGCTAAATAAACAGAATCTTTGGAGGCCCTTTCCGAAACTTGGGCCTCCAAGTCATCAGGATACCAGGTCTCTCCTAGCCCTCCTCAGCACGATCTGCCTTAGCAACCAGGTGCTCAGAGAAGCAGCTGGCAGGGGCACCTGTAGGTTCCACAGCAACACAAAGGCCGACAACAAGTTCACAGAAGCCTACACAAAGATACTCAGATTTTAACCAGTCAAGCAGCCACTTGGCCTTTCAAGAAGCACCCTAAACACTTTTGGCCACTTTAATCAACCCTCATTCACAACCACTTAGGCCAACTGCCAGAGCAGGATAGAGCCAGACCCTTCACTGAGACTCCTCACCTGAGGATCAGTCTTCAGCATCTGGAACTAAAGTCTACTTCCTTCTACCTTCTCTCAGCGCGGTTCTCTTAAGTTGTTTTGTTTTTCAACATACCAAAGGGGAAAATTAGTTACTAAAATAAAGCTGGTAAAAGTCTTAAAACAGATGGCAACAAGATACCTACAAACCAAATACAGGTATGGCTACTCAATTACAGTTAACGATCATTTATGATGTCACAATGCAGAATGTCTTCAGGGAAAGCCATATATGCAAGTTTTTAATCAATCAGAATAGATTACGACCTGTTTAAAAAAAAAGTCACATACCTAAAGCAAAAACCTCATGAGATAAGGAAAGCCAAGATTTTCATCTACTCTTGGCTTAGGCTTAGATAGTGAGAGTACACGGATAGCCAAACTAAGCTGTGCATCACCACGGGATGGGATTGGGCTGAATTAAAATAAGAGCCACATCATCAGGTATTTTGAGCATTACAGTAAAAGCTAGAGAACAGCAAAGTATTATTTAATAGTTTGCACATCTGACCACAATTCTAGGAAAAACTTCTTTAAAGGGCTAATCAAATTGATGAATCCCTCTCTGTTAGATTGAGCAGTCACATTTCCTTCATTTGATTTCCTGTCCAAAGAGGTTCTATTACTTTCCACTACCTCATAGGAAACTACCAATGATCACATCATTAGTACTTACATTCAAAGCATTCTTTGCAGCTTCTGCTTCTGAGCGACTGTCAAAACTGACAAAACCTACGGGCTGAGGAAAGAAAAAGAAATATGAAAGAAAAAAAATCAGAGATATCTATTTTTCTGGCTCAAAGTTGATGTCAAATGGAATAGCTAAAATAAAGAAATGACCACAGGCAATGGGCAGAAATAAGAAAGCCAGTCCAGAAGAATCATGACTTTGGCTTAGCCAAATTTCTGACATGAATCAAAGGGATTGTGAGGGTGGTTCTTCAAGGGCATAGCTGTGGATTTGTAGAATCATAAAAAAAATCTAGGAGTTGGAAGGTGAGCAGCAGTGAACAAGGGAATAGAAAGAAACTTGGGTCGAGAGGCTCTACTTTCCTAAGTCAAATTCACTGTACCTCAGTTTCATCATCTTTTATGATGGAAAGAGAACTGTATCACCTTTTGGTACACTGTAAGTGCAAGGGATACAATGACACAGTAATAAAAGCCCTGTACTCTCAGTGCATGATCAAAATTATAAAATGAACATTTCCATTGCAAGTCCCAAGGGATGCCTTTAAAAAGTCCTCTGTTTAATTAGGTGTGTTAACACATTGTTCTAAGTAAATAGAGAGGGGTCATAATCCCTTTGGACTCAGTATCTTTCAGTCCAGAAGGATGCTTCCAATATAGCTTATTTCTGATGAACCAGAGATTACCTTATTGAGAGACGAAAAGTGATTGAGAGGTGAGCATGTGGAATGTTCAGCATTAAAAAAAAAAAAGAAAAACAAAAAGCATATAGCTAAAAATGTTTGAGAAGCTTGCAGAACTCTCAGGGTCACTGACTACCACTTCCATTCTCCACTCTCTGTGCTCTATTCTAGACTTGGGACTTTGCCTGTGGTTATTAGGGGTTTGAGAGCCAACCTGTTTCTTCACCATCAGACAGTCACACCAATTGTGAAAGTTTGCCTATCCAACCTTGTTAAAAAAAAAACAAAACAAAAAAACAGGAAAGAATTGGGAATAATGGTGAATTTGGATGATAATTAATCATTTCTTTTGAACATACAGATCAATTCCAATGTAACTATGTTGGATGCATATTACATTTGCCTTCTCAGGGACAATCCCAGACACTGGAGATTATGGAATTACAAATCATTTTCCTGCACTAATTCCTAACCGATTTCACCCTTAATTTTAAAGAAACAACAACAAAAAAACAAATCCTACTGGGAATAAAAAAAGAACGTCAAGCTCCAGTAACATTCTTGAAGCAAGTCAATTCAAATTTATCATAGAAGTGATCATTTATATGCAAGTCTGAAATTCTTACCTGCTTAGATGTGAGCTTTATAAGAGAACCCTCATAGCCCTGAAAATAAAGAACTAAATTTAGACCAAAAAAAGAATAGTAGGGAAAAAAAGCAACTGTAATAGTATCTTGCTCAAGTAAAAATGAGTCCTTTATCACTAGCGACTATCAACTCTCCTCATAAATGCCTCTTAACTAGGAAAGCAAATTATATAAACATATACACAAACACACTCACATATACACACACAAACATGCACATGTATACATGCCTTTGTTTGCATACGTCGGGCCTACAACAAATCAAGCCCTGAAATTCATATTTATCTGTGTTTCTCTTCCTTTTTTTTCTTCTTTTCATGAAATTAAGCAATGGTAGGAAAATGGGTGTCTCCGTCAACCACAGATCTTTTTCATTTTATAGAACTAGGAGAGGGAAGGGGGTAAATTTAATAAGACAGGAAAGTCAGAGTATGTCATGCCTTGGTCATGTATTTGCTATAAAATAACAACGAAACATTAAGAATGTATTAGGTAGAACTTATTAATCAAAATTTCAAAGCTGCCAGAGAAGGTTAAGCAGGCAGTGATGCTAAATTTTCTTGAGTTGTTCTGCTTATTTACTAAAGCAGCCAGGCTGCATACTGGTATTCTGATTGGGAGATGCAAAAATTCCCTGTTGGGTTTTTACTCTAGCTCATCCTCAAGGAAGACAGGCACATTCCCTTTCACTCCCTCCCCTTCACCCCTCCTGGCTCCTCAGGATAAGGATAACAAAGTGTGTTTATTTCTGAAAATAATCAATGGTTGGTGGCTTGCACTGATGGATGACACAAGAGGGGAAAAAACACCACCTGACATGATTGACCACTGCACAGATCAGTGCAGAGACAGATTTGCAGACTAGGGTCAGCCTCCAGGGACTTTAATTAAAAGAGGGTTGTTCGGAATGTACCAGGGTCCTGACTTTAGCATTGGGGTTCTGGGCAGGATGTTGGGATTGATTCATCCTCATATCTTCCCAGCAGAGAACTATGTTACCAATTAGCTACTGTAAACATTTCACCTCAAAGGCCTTGAGCTCTTCTGGCCAGAGAGGTCATGAATCACAGCCCTGCCTCTTCCTTTTTCAAGGTGTTCTCTCTGAAAAACCTGGAGGTTTAAATACTCTGAAGGCCTCAGAGGCAAAGGACAAATAGATATTTCACTCAAGTAAAACATCACTGGTAGGGATATATTGTGCTCTCAAGTCACAAAAAGAGAAGCAGCATCACATAATAGTTCAGAACATGGATGGCAAAGTCAGATTGCTTGGGTTTGAATCCTGGCCCTGCCACTTACTATGTGTGTGAACTTGAACAAAATTTATACAACTGCTTGAAGTTTCATTTTCCTCATTTGGAAAAATGAGGCCAACTCACTGTAAAGGAGTGTGATAGGAATTAAATGAGTAATTCATATAAGGGGCTTGCTGGATGAATCTCTTTCTCACTGGACATGCAAAAATGAAACAGTATTTTGTCCATTAAGAAGATCAATTTAGCTTAAAAAGTCCTCTTCCTACAAGGGACAGGTCAATAAAAACTTCAACCCTGCAGAAGAAACTCAGGAAATTCTATAAAGTTGGCACTCTCCCCACAACACCTTCTCTTTCTTTGCCACTTCCTCTCAGCTAACCTCATGTCTAACCTTTCTGCTTTCCTCTGTACTGTCATCATTATTGTTGCATTAAGAGGATGGCTGTCAGAATGGAGTTATGTTCATTACTACACGGTGCCTTCTTGGCACATACGCTAGAGTCTATCTTTGTTGGTTTTAACTGGCTGCCCCCTCAACCCTCCCTCTCCCTTTTCTACCCAGCTGTTTTCAGCTGTCACAACCTACTCCCTTTCCATAAGAAGCTAGATCCTGTCCCTCAACCTGTCTTTCCTCTTTGATGGGGGTCTTGCTTCAACCAAGATGGATCTTCAACCAGAAATCAAGATGGTCTATCACCTAATCATAAGTGTGCCCCAGGCCAGGCATTACTGCTAACATGTTCTCATAGACCAGCTCAGACACAGGCCCCCAGTTTATCATGACTTCCTGGTTCACTCCTTGAGGGCCAAGTCCTCCAGCCCACATTTTGCCGAGTCCCAGCTTTCTCCTATCCTCCACAGGCTAACTAACCTTCAAGGTTTTTCCTTGGCAGCATGGTTATTTCAGCTTTAGTCTAATTTCCTGTTTCATTTCCAATCCCAGCAACATTAAGTGTCTCTAAAGTAGTTTTATCTCAATAGTCACAACGGACAGGCAACTGCATTAAATGTTTCACTAAGTACCAGGAAAGATTCCCCTCAACTCATACTGAGCTGTTCTTTAAAATTCTGTTTGAAACTTAAGACATTTTTCACCTGGAAAAAATACGGTTTCTACTCTAGTTCATAAAAGCCTATTTAACCTATTATGTCTCCAAAGAACAGTATTACCAGGACTATTTCAATTACTAAGGAACCTCCTAGGACTAAGGCTTTACTTATTACATTTGAAACATAAATACATAATCAGTAACTGATGATATTTTTGGTGATCTGTACTCATAAGAACACTCCCAATTGGCAGAGGATAAATGAGGAGCTTGCTAAGGCTGTTCTATATGGAACAGAGACAGATACATGTCCATATCAGTTAAGAGAAAAGTTTTCTCTAGATTAACTGTTGAAGGGATGAAAGGCAGTTTCAGTGTTTCCTAAGTGAGACTGTACATTAGAACTGAGTTGTTCCATTTCCTTTATTCACTAACCTTTTGAAAGTATCACTTTACAGGGTACTTTCTCAAACATTTCATTTCTTCCTCCAAAAAGCCCCATGAAGCTTATGTACACACTTTTTGTCCCCTTTTACAATTTCTGAAAGGAAAGTTACCTTAAACGGTCTGAAAAGCAGATAGAGCTCACGAGGTTTGATATCCAGAGGGAGACCACTGACAAATAGGGTCCGGACCTGGAAAATAAACATGAGAAGTGATCAAGGGAGTGAACAATGCAGAGAATAGCTCTCACCTGATATCTCAAAAATACATTTCTTCAAATATTCCATGACGCCTACCTAATTTGTACTCTTCCCATGACACAATGACTACTTTAATGTTAACATGCCATCAAGACAACTCTTGAATATTTCTAGGTGGATTATTCAGAGTGAATTACCTCTAGCTGATTTAAATTTACAAATTCACTTCTCCTTTCCCAACCAGTCATTGCCTGATTCTAAAAATGTCAGGGGAAGAGAGGGTCCATATAATTAAAATATTAGCTTAAGAAAAAAACGTCATGAGGACAGTAACTCTACCACTCTTCTGCGATAATCAAATGAATGTACAATGTGGTTCAAAAATAAAATCGAAACAACTTTTGTTTTCTCCTGCTTGTCTTATCATTGTTTCCCTCATCAGCATTAATAATTACAGCAATTTTAATAAGTTTATTAAACAATTCAAATAAACCTAAATAGTAGCCAAAATGCACAACTGCATCTGCTCAGTTCCAAAACAGCAGGGCAGACCTCACTGATCTATACATATAAGGCTCAGGGTACAAACTACGCGCTTAGTGTCTACTAAAACACAGAACACAGATGACAGACTCCCAGCTGGGAGGATCAAAGGAAACCTGTTGGCATCCGCATGCGAACTTAAAGGATAGGTAGGATTCTACCACACAGACAGAACAGGTGAGGTGGAGAAGAGCCACAGGCTGAGAAAAGCAATAACCAAGGCAACGAAGAGGGGGTCAGCACAGTGTATTCTGGGAAAAGGGTGAGCCAAACCTGAACAGGTAGCTGAACATCAAACCACAGGAGACATCAAAAGTCACCGGCTAAGGAATTTAGCCTTGATTCAACAAGCAAAGAGTAACCACTGAATTATCATCACCACATTTTGTTTCTACTTATTTTGGTGTGTTATGTGTACCTTTAGTCAGTTCCCCTTGCACAGGTTTATTGAGATATAATTGACATAAAACGTATGTAAGTTTAGGGTGTACAACATACTGACTTGATACAGTTATATATTGCAAAATGATTACCACCTTAGCTTAAGCTAACACCCCCATCATGTCACATAATTACCATTTCTTTTTTTGTGGTAAGAACATTTATGGATCTACTCAGCAACTTTCAACTATGTAATACAGTATTGTTAACTGTAATTACAATGCTGTGCACTAGATCCCCAGAACTTATTCAACTTCGATCTGGAAGTTTTTACCCTTTGACCAACATCTCCCCATTTCCCCCACCCCCACCTCCAGACCCTGGTAACCACCATTCTACTCCATGAGTTCGGCTTTTCACCCCCACATTTTCTATTCTCCTTCTCTGCTCAGGCCGATACAATGTGATTGAGTTCCTCATTAGAAATCATGTTGCTTCTTTTTTTTTTTTAAAGATTGGCATCTGAGCTAACAACTGTGGCCAATCTTTTTTTTTTTTCCTGCTTTATCTCCCCAAATCCCCCCTGGTACATAGTTGTATATCTTAGTTGCAGGTCCTTCTAGTTGTGGCAACATGTTGCTTCTTAAAGAAATATTTGATGCTCACTTGTTAACCATGTATAAATGTGGAAGATTTTTCCTCAGTGAAAAATAGGGAGAACGTTTTCTAGAATCCTAACATTTTCCATTGATTCTGGTTGTGAAGAAGCACAAATCAGCAAGCAAGACGTTTTAATTGATCCAGCACAGTATACAGTAAAATGTCATGCCATTTGCATGCAGGTGTTTAATAAACACTATGATGATGTAAACAGCATCAGAATCATGAATGCCTTATTATTGCTTAGTCATTCATATTTTAGACAACTTTACTGAGGTATAACTGATATATAATAAACTGTGTATCTCGGCTACAATTTGGTCAGTTTTGACATAAGTATAACCTGTGAACCATCACAACAATCAACATAATGAATACATGCATCACCTCCAAAAGTGTCCTCATGCCCCTTTTATCTTCCACCCATCCCGTCCTACCACTCTCATCCCCGGGCAATCACTGATATGCCTTTTGTCATTATAGATCAGTATGTATGTCCTAAAGTTTCATACAAATGGAGCCATAAAACATGTACTCTTTTTGTCAGGCTTCTTTCATTTTAGCATAATTATTTTGAGATTCATCCACATTGCTGCATGTATCAGTAGTCTATTCCTTTTTATTACAGAGTAGTATTCTGTTGTATGGATACATCACAGTTCATTTATCCATTCACTTACTGATGGGACATTGGGATTATTTCTAGTTTTTGGCTTTTACAAATAAAATGGCTAGGAACATTCATGTATCAATTTGCACAAGTCTTTGTATTGACATACGTTTCCTTTCATGGATAAATATCTAGGAGTGAAATAGCTGGATGATACGTTAGGTATATGCTTAATTTTAAAATGAAAAACTACCCTTCAATTCCTTTTTTATGGTCTAGAACATAAGTGTTCTGTGTGTACTTAAAACAAATGTGCATTCTGTTGTTGGGTGGAGTGTTTATAAACGTCAATCAGGGGGCTGGCCAGTTGTATAGCAGTTAAGTTTGGGCATTCCACTTTGGTGGCCCAGGGTTTATGGATTCTGATCCCGGGAGCGGACCTACGCACTGCTTGTCAAGTTGTGCTAAGGAAGCATCCCACATACAAAAATAGAGAAAGATTGGCATACATCTTAGCTCAGTGACAATCTTCCTCACTCATACACCAAAAAAATGTCAGTCAGGTCAAGTCTGTTGTTCAACATATCTTTTGCCTCCTCTGTTCTCCCCCAACTTTGCCAGTGATACTCTTTCCGGGGAACTTTCTTTATCAAAGCTGCCAAGACTGAGATTACTAACAACTGTAAAAGGCACACAATGAAGGAATTCAGTGTGCCCTCCCTGCCATCCCACAGTCCAGAAGCTGAATGCCATCTGTTCTACTTGGCTGCCCTAGCCAGGACAACTTGGGCAAAGAGGTAATCCCAGCTTCCATTCATTCAGATTTTGAGCGTCCATTATACGTCTGACACAATGCCAGGCGCTGACTGAATTACAGAGATATCCATGGAAATAATAAGCAGATCCTATGTTTTAAACACTAGAGTACCTCTTGTCCAGGAGGGAAGCTTAGCTATGTGACAGATATCAATTAGGATTTCGGGAGTTATCTAAGACTATAAACTCCCATTTAAGGACTGTTCTAAAGAAAAAGGCTTTACAAACTTGCAAGTCAAACTATTTACCAACAAAACTCACTAGAAGTCTGAGGGTTATCAACAAAATATTACTTGATATATAAATTAAGGTTCAAATACAGCTGTAAAACATACTATTACGCAGCCAATAAAAAGGACGTTCAAGGGAAAAGTATGCACGGTTTGGTTTTACCCTGTAAAACAAAAAGCCAACACACATATGTGTTTGGAAAGGGGAAAAAATGTCTCGTAGGATATATATACCAAAATGCTTATACTTAAATGGTTTTGCCTGAGTGGTGGAAAGATAAGCAGTCTCAATGTTTTTTTATTAGCTTATTCGTATTTTCTATCTTTCTATAATAAGTATGTATTAGATACTATAAGTTTATTTTATTAGGTTGAGAATTGCCTAGATTTTTTTATTACTTTGTTTTCTTTAGGAAACTATAAGTAATGTCAATATTTATATCAATAAAAATTGTCAAGTTTATGGAGAAAATTCTTTTTTTATGTAAATATTTCAAAATTAGAAGTGAGCGATTCTTATCTTAGTGTCAACAGGAAACTGTTGCACATGAAAAAAAAATGAACTCCTCTTAGGCCTAAGTTTGCCACTCACCCATTAATGACAAGAGATTCAAAGCAACTCTGTTTTGTTCATCAAATTAGAGGCAACTAAGATGTCTGGCACTTTATTTACACGTGGACACAACTTACATTGCCTAGAATCTAGTGAAGCCCATCACTGTCTCAGAAACCTGCCAGGACATCTCATCTCCCATTGAAGAGAGATTCTCTCCTCCGACAGAACACACAGACTGACTAGAAGAGATGATTCTTAAACACATTATGAATTTATGAGTACAACTAAAGGTCACTTAAATCCAAGTGCTTGGAATCCATGTGCTTTGAATTCTTTCTAGATCTCCTCAGACTACAAAACTTGATTAAGTTAAAAAAAATCCAAGGATAATGAAAAGAAAAACCTCTCCCTGGATATCTAACTCGAGCCTGTTCTATTGTGATGGGGACCTAGGATCATGCGGATCTTTGAAAACATTTTAGTTTTCCTACTCTTCTCACCACCAGACTTTTTATAAGAGCCATTAAATAGCAAAGCACTTCTGGGTTTTGTCTTTGCTATGTCTATAGAAATCACAAAGGTAAGATAGATGATTCTTGCTTGCAGGGAGCTTACAGTCAGTGAAGGAAACAAGGTGTAAACAACCGTGATAACAGAAAGCTTAGCTCACTCACAAGGTAACCAATTAGAATCCCAACGGTGAGGTAAAATGAAGAGATACGTACATGCATGATCAGATACTCAGAAAAAAAGTCCCCCCAAAATAACAAATGAATGATGCCAAATAAACTTTGTGGCAGGTCAGTCATTATTCAGGGCAGCCCTTAATTCACCAGCAGTAGACAGAGATGTGCCTGGCACTACGCCTTTAGCATCGCAGATGTTTACTCTATCAGACACATGGGGCAACACATTTCTTAGTCAAGAACACAACAGGCCTCAAAGAGATTCAAGACATGAAGCTGCTGACAGCTCCATCCCAAAGGGACTCTAATGGATTCTATGGATGTACCTCCAACTTCATTTTTACCCCAACAGGACTGAAAAAGAAGGCTAGGAGAAATTGTCCTGCAGAGGCCACAGCTACATTTTAGATAAAACTAGCCATGTGTTCTTAAATGGCATTGCCAGCTCCCAATGGGAAAGATAAGCCACATGTCAGTGACTGACTTCTAATTTAATAAACTGGAATTCA